GCCGATGCTTCTAGAACCCGCATCTGGTCCCGGGAAAACCTGTAAACCATCTTCAGATTCACCTTTAACCTTCATGCTTAGCGCCTTTCTCAGGCCAATCTCCAGAATCCGTAGTTTCTCAAACTGGCTTGGAAAAAAAATCCCGAGGGCAGTGAGAGCTGCACCCACGCCACGGTGGGCGAGTGGAAAAGAGCAGACACCCCATTCAGCTTTTAAAGACAGGTTTATTTATACAGAAGTGCGTGAAATCAAATACAGAAACTTTATTAAAATACTGTATCTTACAAATTTTTTAATCCAATAAATTCTGTGTGATGACACTGTGCTGGGTTCACCGTGGAGATGTCTCGCGTGCGTCAGCAGAGTTCACCGTGGGGGTGATGCACAGGAGGGTCGCCAGGGGCCTCGGCCCGGCCCTGGGATCAGGCGCTGGGCACGTGAGCGGCGCCTCTGCTCCGAGGCCCTGTCCGGGAACCCAGGTCTCACCTCTGTAGACCAACTTCCTGTCATCGGAAAGAACTTGCATATGTTTATTGCTGCGCTTCGGAAGGAAAATCAAACTGGTGGAAAGTGATTCCAAAGAAAGGACGGCATCTCGAAGGCTGGCCGGATGCTGGCTGCGATGAAAAAGACTTAAAACGCACTGCCCAATCTCTGTTCTCCAGGAAAAGTGTATGCTCTATGTACAGTGAGGTTTGTACATGGATCGGGGAAATAAAAAAATTGCTTATACAAAATTAAAAATCAATAGTATACAATATTTACAGCTTGTTAGGTATAATATATAAACGTACTTCTTTTTAAAATAATCCTGCAAAATTAAATTGCTCCTTGTAAACAGGCGTCCTCACACCCCCACGGGGTCCGGTCCTCGCGGCAGGTGCACTGCCTTCACACGGACGGTGCGGGGGCTCCAGCAAACACGTGTTTGTGCGTTACCCCTCCGCTTTTATTCCTCCCGCCTCTACGCTTCACAGTACGTGTTTCTACAGTAAAAAGAAGTCCCTGATGGTAAGCACATTTCGAAAGGGGTACACCACATGGCTGCCCGTGGGCAACGAAGTAAAACGAACACTACTCACGCCGGTTACACTAAAACTCAAGTCTAGACTCCCACGCTGAATCTTCCTGACTGTACTTCCCCCCATTCCATACTTACTCAGCAAAAGAAAAAAAAAAAGAGAAAAATCACATCATGACCACGGGATCACATGGCCACCGGCCGCCCCGCCTGGCACTCAGCGAGCCGCGGGGAGGCTGGCAGCGCTGCTCTGCTTCCAGGCTACCTTCCCAGACCCCGAACTCCTCTAAACACAGTCCGATCCTCAACTTCACTCCATCCACTTTGTCAAAGTGGCTTAACTCCCAAGGCATCCAGGCGACATCTAGCCTTTCCAAAGTACCGACTTGCAACCTCACCCGTCGGGGATCACAGCAAAACTGGACAGTGCAGGCCGGGGATAAACTTTACGTAGATGACCTGCACTTTCATCAATGAAATAAACGCCTCTGTGCCAGGGGACCTGAAGATAAAGTTATCTCCTCGCCCCACCGTGAGCGCGGGCCTGCAGGAACTGTGTCAAGTTACACGGCTACTAGGAAGCAAATACTGTGGAATTTCATAGTTTGTTCACATCAATATTAGAAAGGGGATCGGGGCAGATTTTGTTAAGATTCTTCCATCACAAACACATCCAATACCACAAATAGTAAGAGAGTGGCAACATTTAGACTAGCGGCTAACCTCATACTAACAGCAAGTCATTCTCACAACTTTTCAAACAAGTACCTCTTATTTTGCTTCCTTTGGAGAAAACTTGATAAAATTCGATTCCAAAGCTATTTGATGATGATGTGCAAATCCTTTAATTAAAAAAAAAATACAACAACAATACAGTAAACCTTCATTATCAAAAGCACTCTCCAATTAGCAATCACTTAACAGGACCCTAACGAAGCGGTCATTTCCTGGGCCGCCACGGCAGGTTTAGGAGAAATGCATCACAGAGCGGTTGACCATTCCCCCTAGCCAGGCGTCCGCCCCGCCGTCTTCCAGCTGCACGGCCCCTGGACAGGGAGCAGGCAAGACTGCGCTGGTACAGTGCACGGTGCAAACACGAACACACCGCCAGAGGCCCACTCCTTCCTGCCTCGCCCACGGAGGTGACGTCCCCCTGGAATCCCACCAGCACCCGGAGCTTCCCACATTCTGTCCATGGCTCAGACAATGCCCTATGATGTTCGTGTGGAAAGAGAAGGAAGATTTTCACAGACGCTGCCAGGTTAGCTCTCCGAACCCGGAGAGGGTCCTTCGCCAGGCTCAGGGAACGGGCAGTGAGTGTGACAAGCGTGGAGACGAGGCCCCCGGCCCCAGCGAGGGGTCGCTCAGGGCTCACAGCTCAGCTCGTGCCCCAGCTGAGGGCTTCCACTCACGCAATAAAGTGCTAACAGGTGCACCTCTGCTTCGCGGCAAACACTTCATGTATTAACTACTTCCTCCAAACAAATCCACAAATTCATGTTTTAGTGACTAATTCATCAACCTTCATTAGGCTGTGCTGCCTCCACGCGGCAGACTCCTAAGTTAGAAGAGCAAAAGTTCACACAGCACACACACACACACACACACACACACACACACACTTTCAAAATGCATCACGGCCAGCAAGCTCTCACACGTGCAGAGAGCGGCTCGTGTGGGCACACAGCACACACAGCACACACACACTGTGCAACCCACAGCCTCAACTCAAGGGGCTGGGTTGTGTTCACGGGGGCAGAGGGGGCGTTATCGCTATGCCTCGCACCTGGGCATTCCACCAACACCACGTCTCTATGCTCCGAGGTGGTGCCGGACGTCTGAGAAGCGTTGGGACTTTGAAGCAAAGGACGCCCCCTGTGCCCCGCAGGGTCTCCCAGGCTGGTTTAAGGACAGGGAGACAAGGGAAAGAAGACGACCATGCGAACTTGAGTCCACCGAGACCACTCCACGTCTCCCTCCTGCTTACTGAAAGACACAAGGACTCCTGGGGAAGCCCAGCTGTCTGCAACCCACGTCTATCAGAATTTCTTCGTGAATTTTCCGTGTTCCTCACGTTTGCAAAACAAAATCAAGACTGTTGAAGAGGCCCTGAAGGAGACTGCATGAGCCAGTGTGGAAACGGCAAGAGAGAGAAGCAGTTTGAGAATGCTTCAGAAGTAACCGAGCACCCTGGTCCTTCCTGGATTGTGCGGCAGCCAGGACGTTAACATAGTGGCCTTTCCTTTGAAGGTGGACCCGTGAGCCACCAGACAGTGACCGTGAAAGGAAGGGCTTGGTGGGCGACGAGACCCCGATGTCTGCCCTGCAGAGTGAAGGTCAGGGCCTGTGACAGGCGGGTGACGGGGACAGGACTACCCCCCGCCCCGTCCTCCATCCCTAAGGTATAGCAAGACGGTCAACGGCTGCGGCTGGCTGGGGGGCTCCAGCATTGGGCCCGTGTGGGAAGGGGGGACTGCTGGCCACACCTGCCCCTTTGCTCTCTCCACGGCTGGCAAACAGAACGCAGGGCCACATCCACCATCAGCGACCCCCGCTATGTGAAAGATGAAGAGGTGGAGGAAGCAAGTTTATAAGATAATCTGTTTGTTGTTTAGCTTCCTTCATAAAACCCAAGCAGGGAAAAGGCAAAGATGGAAGAAAACTACATGAATTGTACAAAGCAACAAATCAAAAGGCTCTGGTGGCCGAGTCCAATTTAAAAACTCCCGTGACCGTGAATCCTTCACAGCCAATCCACACCACTGCGAGGCTGGCTACTGCGGGCGCATCCCGACAGAGACAGAAGCAGGGCTCATGGCCGCTCGATGCCACCCTCAGCATCAGGAAGCCACAGGTGGCAGGTCCTGCGCCAAAGCCCAGGCTGCTGGCCTGGACCCTGTCCTTCCCCTGTCACAGCAATGACAGCGCAGTTAGCACAGGCCCAGTTAGTGGCTGCGCTGAGAACAAGACGAATGCAGGGGAACACACAGGGTCTGAACTCAAAAGTAGACTCAGGAAGCAGAATGTCCCCGCCTGCTAAGGATGTAATCTTGCTTTGCTGGTCCTTGGTGGGGCTGAGGACAGGCCCTCACCCCTGCAGGGAAACGCCTGCTACAGCGGCGCATCGCGCGGAGGGGATGCACACGTGTCAACCACGGAACTGAACTCGCTCGCAGGAGTGTGTCTGCCCTGCCTCAGCGGGAGGTTCTGTCTGTTCCTCTCCCCGCAAGCGCACGTCACCAGTTCCTTCACAACACGAGTACGGCACAGACAGGCCACCTCACTTCTTCGCTTCTCCAGGCAAGCACAGGCAAACCCTCACGCTTCCTGGGCGCTGCGGAGCTGCCTGCAGCAACCACCAGCACGGCTCACGGGTCCCTACTGAACACGGCCTGCTAAGCTTTCCTTCTCCGGGCTAGCCCACGGCTGCTTCTACAGAAGGCTTTCAGCAGCTCTAGGGGCTCACGTGAGGTTCCCTGACAAGCTCCGAGCTGTGGACTTTCCTAACTGGTGTGTTAAAGAGAAATTTGCTCGGAGAAAGAGGAGTTGCTTCTCTGGGGGAACCAAGGTCACCCTGAGCAGTGCTGACCTGGCAACTGAGGGCGGTCACCTGCGGGGGCTGATGGTGGTCCCATTCTGCCCCGATCACGAGGGACAGTTACTGCCAAGTCACAAATGTGTTTTAAGAAAAGGTTCATGCCATGTCCCAAACGAGCGTTCCCCACACTAGGAAACCAAGACAATTTTCCCCAAATGCAAAAATCCCTAATGTCTTGCAGATTCTCCAGCGGAACGTGAGACTGCCATGAACAGAAAGCTTGCCAACTGGTACACGCACACAGTGGCATCTAGGGATGGAATCTCAACCATCAGACAGGTCTTGTCTCTGAGAAAACATGCTAACTTCAACAATCTCAGCAATAGAAATAACTGCTGACTCAATTTCAAAAGCTCCCGCTGTTCGCTTGCATTTCAGAAAATCAGCAGTGACGCACAGCCCAAAACTCCAAGTGGAGGTAAATGACAACAGCCACAGAAAGCAAAATGCCCCCTAAACGAAGAGTGCTCACCTACACACACCCCATGACACACCGACTTGATAATGAGCTCACTGCAGGGCCCTCTGCAAGCTGACTCCCACCCCCTGATCCGCACTTCCCCCGGGGAAGAACCCAGAGCCTGCAGCTCTTTGTAGCAGTCAGCCAGCCATGAAATGCTGCCACGCCATCTTCCGGCAAAGCTTACGCGCCCCTACACATGCTAAAATAAATCCATCCGGGAGTCGAGAGGCAAGGTGGGTCCCCGTGGTAGTGGGGACGTCTTGTGGGCGGGCGGATGCTGCGCCCTGCTTGGAGAAGAGGGGGAGTGGAGCGTGGCCATGCACGAGGCAAGCAAGGCCCAGGGAAGGAAAGAGAAGCAGCTCCCCAGCCAAGTCAGGCCCAGTTCAACCCAAGACAACATCCGAAAGACGAAGAGCGCCTGGAAACGATTCCATCCCGGCACCGAGTTCAAAGAATCACTTCAAGATTTCCTCCAAAGACCCCGAAGAGCACAGAACCATTTAGCTGACTGTTTTCTTAAACCAACTCATCTCCCTAGCCTGGCTTCCCCACAGCAAAGCACCCCTCGGCAGCTCCTCCCTGCCACGCTGTTCAGGCGTTCTCCGGTGTTTTTCTGCTGGAGGGCTGTCGGTAACAAAGGCCTTACATTTAAACGGGGACTTGGATCTGCTGTATTTTACCTAAGTCAGCTGAGCCGGTAAGGCGACCAGGCCAGGTGACCTTTCAGACTGTCCGTAAGGTCATATTCTTGTTAATAGCTTCTGTGGGAATCTGCACATTTCTCATGTCAACTGGTCCCCCGGGAGCCCAGGTCAGCTGGGCCTTCTAATCCCCCTACTTCGTCCACAATTCCCCAAGGACAACAGGGGCGTGCCAAGGCCACAGCCCCTATTCCGTGATGTCACCGCCACGGCAGCCTACGAGCTGAACACGCTAATGAATGACCCAGGGCACGTCTGGGGCCCTGCCGATAAGCCAAGTGGGAACATCCAAAGTTACAATGCCTACACTGATGTCCTCACACGTCCACATAAAGATGGCTCACTCCCCTTCCTGTCAAGGTCACTGGCCTCTTATCCCTAAACCAGGTTTTATCTCCAGAGCCTAATCCACTGCACTGCTTAAACGAAAGACTGTTTCCACTTTTCAAAAAAAGAGAAATTCAGATGTGTCAGCAGGTGCCATGCCCGCACTGGGACACTCATGCCCGTCTGGTTGTGGAGACCATCTCTGCAGCAAGGAGGGAGGCAAACGCTTTCTTGAGAAGGGCCAAAGAATGCAACATGCATGGCGCCTTTCTGTCTTACAGAATCTACAAGCAGCTCTCCACACTGAATTCCTGTGACCCACGAAGTCCATGATTTCACACACACAGAAGGGAAATGCCCCCAAAGGGCCCGTTCACCGTGTGGCAAGTGTGCGCCCCACAGAGCCCCGTCCGTCCCACAGGCTTGCTCCTCTTCCGGGAAGAAGCCTCTGACGTCCTGCGTGAGTCAAGTAACAACAATGCCAAAACAGAAGGAAGCCCTAGGTCCAGATGCACAGCACGCTGACGACCACACCGGCTCTCTCACACCGACAACTTGGGATTGGACACTCACACCAGACTCGGCTCACAACACAGAATCTCACAACGTTACCTGAATTCGTGTCACATATGTTCACAGCACTCATCTACAGCTACACTGGCAAGTTGTCACATGATCAGTGTTAAGGGAGAGAAAAGAGTTTGGCACATATTGCAATTCCTCGAAACATCCCCGTGACTTGACACGATGCCGCTAGGAACGATGGTTTCCACGCCACGGCGGGCCCCAATGGCCACTAAACAAGGTGCTTTATTTCTGGTGGCTTCCCGGAGCGTCTTCGTGCACCTTGCGTGGGACCGAGGCACGAAGGGCGCAGTGCGGGAGTGCATCCGCTCCAACACCAGAGGGCAGCCTCTCTCCACCGCGCCAGGCCTGCCTTGGCCCGGGACCGGGAGGGCACAGCGCCCGTGCCATTCTGTCTCTACTGGTTAACAACACCACCACGATCCGGCGCTCCGTTTGCTTAGGTGAGGTCGGGCATTCCCACGCAGGCTTCAGAGTGTGGCGAGGATCCTTGAAAAGGAGATGATTAACGTGAGTACAGTCTGCCCGACGCCCCACACCAGCGCCTCCAAGGGCGCCATGTTCTTGCCTGCCACTCTGTAGATGCCGGCCACGGCTGCACCTGCAGGGAAGGAGAGAAACAGGTCCTGAGTCAGGGCTGACACCGCCCCTCGGTCAGCACTCCCACACACTTCCTCCGAGTTTCCGCGCTGTATTAGCCTCCGTGCTGAAAAACAGCCTTTGCTATTCAACCAAAGTATATATATTAATGGCACACACTGCTAACTCAATTAACAAATATGTTTATTAAAAAAAAAAGGAGTAATTCATACTTTACACACTTCACTCTCTCACCTTGGGCATTCAACTGGCCTTACGCCCATGTTGACAGTGAAAATGCAGAAAAACCACACCGCAGTAATTCCCTAATTACAAAAGGCAGTTTTAACATGAAGCATTATTTTCTTAGTAAAATGAACTCCTTCGTCAATGTCGTGGAAAATCTAAGAATATTTGGCCTGTCCTCCAGTCGATCCTGCAAAGGAAGCTTATGGTGGGATCTCATGACACCGGGTGACCTTGACACCTGCAGGAGTGGGGCCCACTTTAGCAACGTCCCCTCCTGGGGTGAGAGCATGTGAGAGCTACAGGCGACGTCAGAGTCCTTCTGATCCAACACTCGCTCTTAAAATAGCCAACACGGTAATGGGGGACCCACGAGGCTAATTCCAAAGGTACACTGGGGAATCACCAGAGAAAGCCTTTACTATGCCATCTGACAGGGCGACAGGGCATCAAAGCGGAAGACTACACCTCCTACAAGGGTTCAAAGAGAAAGAATAAATCATCCTACTGCAACGCATTTACAATTATTTGAAACAAAAACATGTTCATAAAAACTAGCTGAAAATATAATTTCATCTATCAAAAATAGCTAAGGATTAAAAACCATATATCACTCAAAATCTCCCCAAAAGAAGTTACCACATTCCTCCACAAGCAATGTGAAGTGGGGAAAGAAAATTAATGATCTAAGCCCAAAACACCTTCACGTGTGTGTTTTAACATATAAGAAACACCAGTGTACTCAGGGCGCACTATGCATCCGAGTCGGGCCTTCACAGACACCACGTTACTCAAACACCATGGACCCCATCGGGGTGACCCCTAACTCACAGTGGAAACGAGGCTCGCAGAGGGTCAGTCACCCAGCGCACACACAAAGCCCAAGAACTGGGGTGTCTGGCAGGCTGATCTAGTAACGAACCCCCCCCCCCATCCAGAAAATAACAGAGTAGCTCATAATCATTTCAGCTTCTACCCCGTCAGGTAGTAACCTCATAACTGTCATATCCAAATTTTAGAAATGGATCACATTCGTTATTATTATTTTTTAATTTCAGGCTGACTTGGAAGTGACAAATAAAATCTGTGACTCCGAACTTGCCGTGTGTGTGTGTGTGTGTGTGTGTGTGTGTGTGTGTGTGTGTGTGTGTGTTAAGGAATCCAGGTTTTGCAGTGGCACAACGGGTTAAAGTTTACACTCCACTACTCAGCACCTCTGAAGGCGCCTAGGCACCCACTCAGTGTCTTGGGCCTGTACTGGGGGGCAAGCCTAGACATTCCCAGGCAACACAGGCAAAGGGGCATGACACTGGCTGGCCCTAACACACACACACACACACACACACACGCACACACGCACACACACACCCATCCCGGCTCCGAGGCCAGGGACGCACAGCGACGAAGCTGACTCTCGCTGGACTGTGTTCAAACATCTGGGAGCTGTGTGGATGCCACAGGTCCCTGTCACCCCGTAACCCACAGCAAATTCAAAAGGGAAGAAGGCTGTGAACGCTAAATCCAAAGCTACAAATGTCAACTCCAAAACATAAGGGGACACACATAAGAGCCCAGAAAAGAGATCTTAAGGTGAAGACCATAAAAAAGGGCACAAACCATAAGGAGCAATCACTGTTTCCAACCTCCAATAAGCCCCATCAGCTGGGCTAAGTGCTCAGTGTCCACCACGGAGTCCCTCACAGACCTGTGAGAACTCACAGGAAAGATGGAAGCTTACTGTCTATGTAGGAAAGCAGAAGCAAACGTAAAAAAATGTGCGTTCTATGCTAGTACACACATATGTGAGGGGGGGTCTTTAAAAAATTCCTGAAAATGCTAATTACAGGAAAAGTGTGGATTTCACAATATTTTGTACCAAAATACACTTTAAGTGCATAGTGACTGTGCTCTTTGTCTCAAAGCATTAATTCCATCTCCCCATGAGCTTTTCAAAATAACCTCACAGCTCGATGGAACAGAATAAACAGCCTAACAGTAAACCCCTACGCCTAGACACCTGAGCCTCCTGCTGGAGGGAGCGGCACAGTGACTGCAAACAAAGAGCCATGTGCCAACTGCAATAAGTAATAGCGAACAGTAGACCTGTGGGTGACACAGCTTAGAAACCTGCCCCAAGGAGAAGAATCTGATAACCAGAAGTACAATGACCAAGAGCAAAAGAGACAGAGGCACAATGAATATTACTGAAGACTTTGCTAACTTGAGAGTTCACTTAGGAAGACATTAAGAAAATGGGGGATACAGAATTCAAAACACTTGTTGTTTTAAAGATTTATTTTTTCTTTTTATTACAAAGTCAGATATACAGAGAGGAGGAGACAGAGAGGAAGATCTTCCATCCGATGATGGTTCACTCCCCGAGTGGCTGCAACGGCCGGTGCTGCACCAATCCGAAGCCGGGAACCAGGAACTTCTTCTGGGTCTCCCACATGGGTGAAGGGTCCCAAAGCTTTGGGCCATCCTCGACTGCTTTCCCAGGCCACTGGCAGGGAGCGGGATGGGAAGTGGAGCTGCCAGGATTAGAACCAGTGCCCATATGGGATCCTGGCGCATTCAAGGTGAGGACTTTAGCTGCTATGCTACACCGCCAGGCCCCAAAACACTTGCTATAAAAATAGCTTCTTATCAACAACGAGAAGCACATAAAGCAGGCATTCAAAGAATTCAAGGAATATGTCACACTGGAAATGAATCAATGAAAGATGATATATCAGAAATGAAGAATGCCGTAGAATAAATTAAAAGTACAATGGAGAGACTCCAAAATAGAATGAAGGCAGTAGAAAGAATCTCAAAATTAGAAGATACTTCCTGTCACCAGCAGGAAACAAACAAAAAGCAGGAAGCAGAGCTGGATCAGGCCAAAAAAAGTATTCAAGAACTGAAAGACACAATTAAAAGACCAAATATAAGAATTATGGGAGTCCCAGAAAGTGCAGAAAGAGAAGCTGAGTTTGCAAACGTATTTACTGAAATAATAAAGGAAAATTTCCCTAATCTGGATAAACAATTGGGAAACAAGATCCAGGAGGGACACAGAACTCCCAACAGGCTTGATCAAAAATGATCTTCACCATGACACATGATCATCAAGCTCTCTTCAACTGAACATAAGGAAAAGATCCTTAAATGTGCATGTGAAAAAAAAAATGAACTGACATATAAAGGAATGCCAATTAAACTCACAGGAGATCTCTCACAGGAAACTCTACAGGCAAGAAGAGAATGGAGTGACATGTTCCAGATTGTAAAAGCAAAAAATTGTCGGCTCAGGATAACGTACCAGCAAAGCTTTCCTTTATCTTTGAGAATGAAACAAAATTCTTCCAAGGTAAAGAAAAGTTAAAAGAATATGCCTCTTCCAAACCTGCTCTGCAAATGATACTTAAGATGTTCTCTTGACAGAGAAAAGGAATAGCACCTACCAAAACCAAAGGCAAATGTGAAGAACATCCCAGTAAAATAACAACGGAAGACTAAATCAATGAACAATCCATTCTAAAATGACAGAACCAAATTACTACCTATTTGTATTAACCCTGAATGTAAATGGCTTAAATTCATCAACCAAACATCATAGATTACTAGACTGGATTAGAAAACAAAACCCATCTTATTTGTTGCCTACAGGAGACACATTTCACCAACAAAGATCAGCAGAAACTGTATCTCATGGGTTTTGATTTTTTTTTTTAGTTTCATCTCTTCAAAACACTTTCTGATTAAATTTTTCAATGACTCTTAGAACATACAATAACATCATTTTCCTCTGGAAGGTTCTTGATTTTCTTTCTCATTTCTTCAGTGACATTAGTCATTCAATATCATGTTATTTAACTTCATGGTGTTGTTAATTTCCTTTTTTTCTTCCTGCTGTTGATTTTGTTTTTGTGGCTTTTCATTTAAGGGAATGTATAGTAACTGTGTAATGGAGACTATCATACCCAGATGTGAGGATACAATGCAGTATGCATCTCTACTTCTAGACAAGGATGGACTCCCAATGAAACTGGTTAGTACATCTTGACAATAGGAAGCTGGACTCTGTCATTGTCCAAACCTGCAATGATGGACATAGAACTGTGTATGAAGAACTATACCATAGTAACGATCTAGGGGGACTCGGTGAGGGGGGAGGGGATAAGGGAAATCCCAGGGCCTATGGAACTGCATTATATAATGATAATAATAAAAGGAAGTAAAATTAAAAAAAATAGAACTTCTCTAGTATTTAAAAATGCCCCACAATGCAGCTTGACCACTCTCGTCCTGGGACATCCCTCCTGTCCCCTCACTACCCTCCCCCAACTGCTGCTGCTCTTGACCTTCTCATTTACTGCCACCTTGTGTCGCTCTTCTGTCACTTTCCATTCTTGAATTCCACCCTGTTCTCTATCTCTAGACAAGCCACACAGACAGAGGGAATACTCCTTATAAGTGGACTTTCATTTCAGACAACAGGTGCAAGCTTGTCACTCCCCAGGTTCCCCTGTTTTCAGACGAAAGCCTGGGAGGTTCCCTGATTACCTGTAGGTTGGCTATTTTCTTAAAAGACTTCAGATTACTGAGAGATGTTTTACCACAGAGTACACACACAATGGATGTACAGTAAGAGTGGACCTGGGACAAAGTCTCAGTCTTAGAAGCTTCTGGTCATCCTCTTATTTCCCCATAGACTCCCACACGGCATTCCCCTCTCCTGGTTATGATAACCGACAATGGCCAACCACAGCCATGTTTGAGATTTGGGTAGCT